ACCTCCCACTGCCTGAGCCATTGACAGCAGAAAATCACACAAGAGAAGGCCACAGGAAGCACACACAACAGGACAAAAGCATCCCTATATGTATGATGGTGTTATCTGAATTCTGCATGCAGTGTGCAGAGACTTGCATTTTCCTTTCTTTCCAGTTAGAGCTCTGATTTCCCATGCTGACCATAATACTGTAATACCATGAACATTTATACATTGTCAATTTAAACAATGCAAAAACGATCACATTCATCAAAATGCAGAATGATCACAAAAGAGGCCAAGGCAGAACTGCTGTGCAGCCATAACATTTATTGAAAAGTAGACATATGTTTGCAAATGACAGAGCTGTGCGGGTTACATTACATGGTTCATAACGACGTTCCAATTAGGCTTCTCATGGAGTCTTCACATATAGCCCTTAAAAAAGATGTAACTGAAAAGGGGAAAAAATTAGTGTGTTTACAAAACCAAATGGTAGCTTTCAATTAGAACAAATCTGTGCTTGGCTACTTAGATATACACATGTTGATTGTTCCGGCCCCGCAGATACTTCTGTATAGCCACAACTCTTCAATGAATAATGGCTTTAGTAACCCAAACTGCATCTCAGAATATTCTTAAGCTTAGGAAACAGGGCCACAACTGTGATAAACAGTAAAACGTCTGACATTTGTCTCCCTCAATATACCACTTTGTCCTTGAGATCGTCCACACAGCATTTCATTTGTAGAATAATAAGGAAAAATTCATCTAAAAAAAGGGCAGGATACTGAATATAATCTATAGTAGACATTTCCCATATTAATGTTTAAAAGTTGCCTTATTTCCTTTTGGTACAGTGGAAGAAAATTCTGGGGGCAAAACTGTAAAACAAAAACCAACCACCAGTTCTCAATATGGAGAATTTAACTACTTGTTTTCCTCTAAAAAGGTATCTTTTAACAAAAACAATAAAAAATAAAGCATCTCAAGAATTTAAACTATTTAAATATCACTTTCCGGTTTTACTTTCATTCAATAAGTAAAAAAAGAAAGTTGTGCTGTTCATTTTTCTAAACTACATCTTTGCCCCATTTGCCTTCTATGGAAACATCCCAAAGAGTGATATCGAAATATTTCTAATCATGGACTAGAAAGTTATTTGATTTTATTTCATTAGAGATTAATAAGGTAAAGCTGCAAAGGAGTTTTAAATCAAAGAATTGAATAGTGTAAAATGTCTGATGTGGGGATATGTAATTGGGAAAGATCAGAATAAAATTAGAAAATTCTAAATAAAAAGCTTAATTTGATTTGCTCTGAATAATTTTTTATTTAGTAAAGCATCTATGTGTGAACCTATGCAGTTTTTTTTCTAAGTTATCATCAGTTAATCTTATTTAAGAATTTTCTGATACCTGGCACTTGGTTGGAATTGAGAATTGGTCATTTAGGATTAGGTTCCCACTCATTTCTCACATGTCCCTGGGTAAAATATTCTATTATTTATCACTTATTTACTTTGAAATATTCCAGCTCCCTGGACATATTTTGATACCTCATTATTACATGTAAGAGATTATTTAAGTCAAACATTTTGTCTAAGAACTTTATTATCTTAAATCTCTTTTTGTTCTTCTTCAACCTCTTATACAAGGGATCCATTTACAGCACTCAGCCTAGTAACAGAAAAATTCAGACACGCCGATCTCAGTCCTCAGACAGGTACTTCCCAGTCCCTGGTTGAGCTGGTTTCTCTTCCCATAGAGAAGAGTTTGCTGATCCACCATTATCAGCCTTATCTCTTGGCTGGATGCATCCCAGAAGAAGCTACGGGGGCGATGCCTATTTGCACTCCTCCTTTATAAACCCCAGTCATAAAATCAGAGGAAACCGGAAGCTGCACATCTGCCACTCATTCATTTACACTCCAAATTTTTAAACCTTAAGATGCTACAAGAAACATAGAGGTAAGGAAAACCCTTCATGTGTCTATGTGATTATTTCCCCAGAATTGAAAATGCTGGTCTTTGTGAATCTGAGGATTGTTTTTTAAATATCATATTCTTTTCATTCAATCACTAAACATTTACTGAACCCCTACCATGAGCAAACACGGTAGCCTTTTTTCATGTCTCCAAAAAAGAAAGCAAAGGAGGTCTTTATGCTGTGGGCTACAGCGGCAGATGGGCATGTCAATTTACACTTGAGTTCTCTACTCAGTTTTAAAGTAATCTGTTCCACAGAAGAGGAAATTACAGAAAGTCAGGAAGGAAAGGGAGACAGGAGTCAGCACCTATTTCATGCCAATCCTGGACCAAGAACTACAAGTGGGTATAAGCCACAGAGGTCTTGAGCCTCTTAAGAACTGTAGGAGGCACTATACTTATTTCTCCCATTTTATGAACAAGGAAAAAGAAGCTTTAGTAATGTCCTCACCACTTAAGATCCTTTCCCAAGCTACACTACAGCTTATGCTCTTAATAGGTTCATCATGGGGAAAACACTATTAGGAAAACTCTAGAATCTGAACTGAGATCTGAGTAACTCCAAAGTGAAAACTCAATGCCTCCTGTGTTCACGTCACAGCAGTAATATGCAGGAGATTTCTCTGGACTGAGAAAATGCCTGAGTTCTCTGAATGGAGAAACAACTTTTGTTGCTACACATCCAGTTTTCCCAAGATTGTTGGCTCAGCTCTCCCTCTGGTGAGGAAAGAGCCCTTAAATGTATGTGTCCCTATGCCAAGAAATCTTTTATGTGAATAAAATCTTTCATACCCCTCAAATTTTAAGATGAACCAAAAAGCAATGTGTTACAATCCTCCAAATTCCTCAATGTGATAAAAACAGTCTGTACTTAAATCTCTCTTGGTGTTATAGGAAATATAAATCAAGATTGCCCTTTAGTCTTGATAATATATTTTCCCCTTAGTGAATTGCTATTTCATTTACATTCAAAACTCAAAATTATCGTTAGTATTTAAATAAACTGAATAAAAAACCTGAAGAACTCATCTTAAGAATAATTATCTCCAGATACCATTCATGGTAAGAATAATTCCTTTCTCTTATATTAGACCTCATATTATTTAATGCAAAGAAGGCTTCCCTCAATACTTCTCTTATTATTTAAAAATTTTCTTCCTATAGCTTTAACTAAGAAGTCTTTAAAATCTCTTGGCTATTTCATGGTTCTAAACTGTGACTCTTAATTTAGGTAGAGTATTAAATATTTTCAAATTTCAACAGCAGACTCAGAGAAAGGATTTAACTTTGGCAAAATAAGTGAAGTCAGTCACTACTCAAATAAAAAAATCAAACTTGAAATGACCAAGAGTCTTTTTTGATTTTGGGGGTTGTAGTGGACTGCATCATAATGCCCATAGTGAAAATAATAGACGTTTCAGAAATCAAGTCCTGTGCAGCCACAGCCCAAGAGCTACATGCAAATGTACATCTGTGAAATAAATCTGCCACAGATGCTGCACCTGGAAATGAGGTCTGAAACAGGAAGCCATTTACTATCACAATAAATTATATCAATAATCAATATAGACTCCCCACCCCTTAATTAAACCCAGCTTGAAAATTTTAGAGACTCTACTTCAAAAATTGATGAAAGGCTGACTGGTATATAATCCTTACAAAACCACAGCTAGGTGTAGTTTAAAGGGCAACCTACACACACTTTTAGAATTTCCTTTTATTTGTATTTAAGAGTGAGACATACTTTACTTAGTGTCTAAATTAATCTCTAAAAGTAGCTGAACTATTTAGACCTTATATTTTTTTAAAAAAAATAGTATTGTGTTAGGAGTGTCCTTGGAGACCTAATCCCTTCTTAATTATCTATCTATTCCTGGGGATCAGTATGCTCCAGGAGATGAACATTAAATCTCTTTTCCTCCGAGAGTTTCCTATTCTTGTCCTGTGTTGATGTAAACTTATCTCTCTTGTATACTTCCACACAGTGCAAGAACACGATACTGCTTAGGGGATCTTGACAGTTCCCAGCCACTACTCTATCTTCTTCCACAGCCTCCTTTTGAATAAGTTTTGGTCCCACCAACAAGCTTGCATTTTCTAAGTAGAAAATAAAACTACCAACACCCAAAGGAAAAAAAAAAAACAATAGGAATCATAAAAACTCCAGCTTCACCTTAATTTCCTCCCTGATCCTCAACCTCCTCTCCTTCAGGGCTGTTCGTGCCCACTGCCTTCTCTCTGTCCCCAGACCCACAGGCCCATGGAGGGAGGTGGGCCAAGACACTACAATTCAGAGGCCCCCGAAGCAAAACAATTGGCACTTGCTCGATATATGTCAGAGCATGACACTCTTTTTAATCTGAATATCTAACCTCAGCCAGAACAGATTTAAAAAGAGAAGTCAGAAGAAATTGTCTTCCCTTGGTTATGTTCCTTAATTCACTTGCTTTATGTCTGTACTTATTAAATAACTATAAAGCACCTTAAAATAAGAATTCCTTCACCAATCTATTCTATATAGAATTATGAAATATCACAACTTAATGAAAAGAGGGTCCTAAAAGAAGTGAAAGAATGTGTATGTTAACATATCAAATTAAGCCTATTGTTTAAGATTAAAGTTAGAAGTGATATAATTAAAGATTATGATTAGAAACCTACTTTTTGTATTACACTTAAAATAATTTTTACCCAAATGCCTTAACTAACATCATCTATTTTTATGAAGAATTGACAGAATGGAGGGGAAGACCCCAGTGTGTGCATAAGACTGTGTCTCATGCTGGTGTGTCCTTTTAAAAAATGAACTCAGTAATTTATCTGTGATATTTCACTACCTTATTTCTGGCTCTTAAAAGTCAGTTACCCAGTTTCCTAAGTTGATTATTCCAGAATTTTTCCAAGCAAAAAGTTAAGCTGATGAGTATATCCAGGGTCACCATCCATTTCCCTTTTTGAAAGAAGATTCTAAATATGCCCTTTTCCAGTCTTCAGGCACCTCATCAGTCCTCCACGAGTTCTCAAAAATGATATCTAGCGGTTCTGTGACGACTTCGGCCAATTCATTAAGTACTCTAGGATGCCAGCCATTGGGACCTGCGGATTTGAACACATCTGGGTTATTGAAGTTCTCCTTTACCCATTCTTCCCCTAGTCCATCAGGGATTCCTGCTCCTGCTTTTAAGCCATATTTGTTCCTCTTGGGTTACCAGGTGGACTTTTGGGAAAAAAAAAAAGCTTTGAGTATCTCTGATTTTTTATGTAGCAAGTTTTTCTTTCAAGACAATAAATGAAGAATGGATTTTATTCTTTTCATATCTGTTTTTTTATACACCTTTGTTTTATTTATTTATTTTTATATGGTCTTGAGGATTGAGCCCAGGGCCTTGCATGCTCTAGGTGAGTACTCCACCTCTAAGCCACAACTCCAGCCCAAATCTGTTTAATTTTTAAAAGTCTACTTCTTTTGCTTTTATATAAAAAAAGAATGTATGATTAAAGTGTACTTTGTAATTGTTTGCATCCCTACATCACTCAATACTACACGTTGCATCCTTAATAATAAAGTCAACAGTCAACACTCTCCCTGAGTGTAAAGGCTACCCATCTCATGTTCAAGTGCCAAAGGGTACTTATCTATTCAACTTGTATCTGCAAGTGCTAATTCAAAATGCATCTTCTATGATAAGGAAGATTCACAATCATCTTTAATCATTATCATTTATATGCATAAACAATAATTTTTTCACACAGGCATTTAAAAAGCATAGCTGTAACACAAGTCAGAAAGAAATTAATAAGGATTTCTGACAAAGCAGGAAACTAGTAGAATTCATTTGCTGTGTGGTCATCAGCATCAAGGGTCTCGGGTTTATATTACACTAATTATCTGCAAGCTCTGATAGGTGTTGACAGTTTTAACCCCTTCACTGTCACAATGATCCCCTGAAACTGAAAGACAGCAGCAGATTATTTACTGCCCATCTGTCATAGCCACACCATGTGCTGAGAATCCCTTGACAGATCCATGGTGGACAAAGAACAGGAAGAAAAGGAGAATACAAAGAGAGAAAAAGGATGCCCGAGTTTTTCCCAGGATTTTGAGGCTGCTGCTTCAGTAAAACTTTTTTAAATTGGAAAACGTGGAATCATTTTTTTTTCTTTTTCCCTCCAAGTCTCTATCTCTCCAATATCACAACAATTTTTTTTATCTTTTGAGGCTTAACCAATGTCAAAAATAAGTAAATATAAATCATATGTGGGCTGGGGATGTAGCTCAGTGGTAGAGCACTTGCCTAGAACATGTGAGGCACTGGGTTAGAGTCTTGGCACCACATTAAGGGAAAAAAAAGGTATAAGTGTCCATCTACAACTAAAAAATATTTTTTAAAAAAATCATACTGCAGAACTGGGGCTGTAGCTCAGTGGCAGAGCACTTGCCTCGCAGGTTTGAGACCCTTGGTTTGACCCTTAGGACCACATAAAAATAAATAAATAAATGGAGTTATTGTGTCCATTTACAACTTAAAAAAATTTTAAAATCATATTGCAAATATCCTGAAGACTTTTTGTAATACTGGGGATTGAATCCAGGGTTGTGTTACCACTGAGCTATATCCTCAGATCTTTTGATTTACTTATTTTATTTTGGAACAGGGTTTTGCTAAGTTGCTTAGAAGGTCTGACTAAGTTGCCAAGGCTGGCCTCAAACTTGTGATCCTCCTACCTCAGCTTCTCAAGCTGCTGGGTTAATAGGCATGCACCACTGTGCCCGGCCATCATGAAGACTTTTAAAGAACAACTGCACATTTTCTCTAAGGTACAATTTGTTTTAGCACATGCTGTTTTCACCCCTGTTCCAATAGCCACCTGCTGATGGCAACATGTTAACTAATATGTCATTATTAATTAGTTTGGGTGACACCACCAGGCAATCACATCTAAATGATAGAAAGTATTTCTATCCAGGAAGGGTGTTTCTTTCTCCAGAGAATCAAGTTATTCTCAGGCCTTTTGTTGTTTGTTTATTTTGGCTGCAACTAAAAAAATATCTAATAACTAATATATTCAAATAGTCACTCTCAAAAAACAATATCCATGACAATTCCTATATTGATATCACTTCCTATCATGATCTATGAAAAAGTTAATGCTAATCTATCTTGATTAGCCAAGTTGTTGGTGTGTTCTGGAGGGGGGAGTGAGGTAGTGAGGGAGGTCCTCTAAATACACTTTAATACAAAGAAGTGTATTATAAAGAAGAAAGATGTTTGCTTTTTAATGCTCTAGGAAGTGAAGAAATGAGAACACATTAGTGGTGAAAATTATATTTAGTATAGAGTATTAGATAATTAGCTATTTGTATCAGGGGAAAATACCAAAACAACAACAACAAAAAAAAAAAAAGAAAGAAAAAGAAGAAGCCTTAGGCCACAGAGTTACAAGAAGACTTGGGCTAGGACAGGCAAGGGCCACAGGACCCTGGCCCCATGCATGAAAGCAGGAAGATGGCCTCACCTACTGTATGATCCAGGACACACAGAGAGAGAGAGAAAGTACATTCGGACAGGTTTTCATCTAGCACACATCCACACCTCCACATGCAACTCATCTGGAGACGCTGACCATGAAGTCATTTCACAAATCTAATGACAAGCCAACAGCCTCCACAACCTCTGGTTCCACAAAAACAAATCACATTCATCCAACAAGCCCAGCCTTGCAATTTGCTACTTTTCATTCTTTGGAGGAGGTGGTGGGAAGCAGACAAACAGGATTTCTGCAGTTGGGTCATGGAGAGTTTCAAGATGTGAGAGCAGCCGCAGACAACAGTAATTAACTGCACACGTTGCTTCATGATCATAGGAAACATTAGTAATTCCCATGTCACGAATACTCATCATACTCTGGTGGCTGATACACACCGTGACATCCCAGAGCCTGGTCCTAATGGATCCCATTTTTCTAGTGGAATAGAAATCAGCAGATTTTTTAAAATTCTGACCATCTTGAAGCTAATACAGGCAAACATGCACTCCATGTATTTCATTTTTCTCCCAACTGTTCTGGGATAGTCCTATCATGAAAACCAGGGCTGTCTTCACTCCAAGGAAAACGATGTCTGTTCACATGTGTTTGTCCTCTTCCTTAGTTCTATATGAGACAGGCTTAAAAATCCTGAAAGCAATCACCTCTAAGTTCTCAAAGTTCATGAAAGCCAATCATGGGAAGAATAAATTCCATGTTTTATTTTTGGTTCATAATACTCCTGAAGTTTTCCCATTTTTCTTTTTTTAAGACATAGGTCTCAATATGCTTCCCAGGCTGATCTTGAATCCCTGGGCTTAAGAGCTCCTCCTGTCTTGGTGGGGCTCTCCAATAGCTGGAACAATAGGTGCACGCTATTGTGCCTGCCTGTTTTCCTTTTTTTTTAAGTTAAAAAAAAATTTTTAGTACTGGAGATTGAATCCAGAAGTGCTTTACTACTAAGCTGCATCTCCAGCCCTTGTTATTTTTTTTAATTTTGAGACAGGTCTTACTAAGTTGCCTAGGCTGACCTCTAAGGTGGCAATCCACCTGTCTCCATCTCCTGAGTCACCTGGTTTACCAGCATGTGCCACCATGCCCCAATATTTTCCTATTTTTAAAGACAAGCCTGGTTGGGGAGAAAAAAAATTAAACTGCCAGCAGTTTGTCTGCGGTGTGCCAAATTATCATCTCCTTGTTCCTAGTAAAGCCAAAAGGCTAGTTGGTTTCCTCCCCGTACCTGACTGTGAGACCATGCTCAATCAGAGAGCCCTTGTATTAGGACCATCCAAATATAATTCTCAGGCAGAACTGTGGCTTTCTCAGTTTTTTCTTCCCCTAGGCTTTTATGAAGCTGGGAGGAGCCTCTCATTTCCCAGAGATTTGGCAGATCTCCCATGCCAACTCTATCAATGTTAGTACTCTAATTTGAGAAATATGAAGGGACAGAAAAAGTTATTCAATACTTAAACTATTACCCTATGGTTAAAAATTAAGATTTATGAGATGATTTTTTTTTCTAAGTTGATTACTCTGATTTTAACTGACTTCAAATCTGTTATTCTCTGAGCTTTTGATTTTCCCCTAATTAAAGGCAATCAGAGTTGCATGCAGGCTAAACCCACTGAGAAATGTCTCTCTATTGTGATGTTACTGTATAGTGCATACATAGTTCAACTGTAGATGCAAAGTCAATACACAAATTCTCCATATTTGGTTTCTTAAATAAAAAAAAATAACTGGTGTGTAAAATTAATAGCCTGTGCAATTTCCAAAGAGTTTGGGGGGCAAAACACAGTTAAGGACGATACAAACAACTGTCTTCTCTTCTAGTTGACTGAAGGGATATAAAGTTTAACTGTTAGTGGTACTGGTGATAAAACATAGGATATTTTTTAAACCTCATGATAGATTAAAAGATTTCCAATATTCAGCCATGTCACACTGGCTTTATTTATGGGGCTAAGAAAGGTGAGAATTTACTTAGAGGGGGGATTTAAATATAGCCTCATTTTAACTATTAACCTCTCCAAGGGCAAAATCCATATTTTACACTTTTTTATACTAGAGAAGTCCTACAGGATAGAGTTCCTCAGTCTATAGACTAGAAAAACATTTGAGCTATTCTGAAATAAGCTACATAGATTTCTTCTTCTTCTTCTTCTTCTTCTTCTTCTTCTTCTTCTTCTTCTTCGTGTGTGTGTGTGTGTGTGTGTGTGTGACTTTAAAAACAAATACCCAAATGTTGTCCCATTACAAACTGCTCTATTTAACCATCTGATCTGTTTTCATGCATGGTGTGTGCTTGACAGGTTGGTAGGTGCTGATTTGGCATTCCAGTTTCTGGGACAAATTAAGTGGGTTATAAGAAACTGCCTCTCACAGTCTCCTCTGGACCCACACAGATCTAATATTCACTAAGGACTTATCTGCAGCTTTTCAACCAACTACACTAGAGAGGCTGGCTGGAAATTTTCCTACTCATTTGTTATTCAGAAAACTCTCAGGAACTTATTCAGAGGTTAAAAAACAAAAACATCTTTGTTTATGCTGTCCTCAGGGCATTAACT